CTTTTGCATCTTCATTCGGATCTAAGCCGGTAAACTTTTCGAGAGCTAAATCTGGGTATGCTACTACCTTTGCCATCTTTGTTTAAATCATTCAAAGTTTGTTAACAATATATAAAGGGTTTGGATGTGTTGTGTACTGATCAATTGTTCGGACTGAAATAATTGTATTTAAGTTACAATCAAGTTTGCTGGGTTCAATGAATGCGAATTTTTGTTAGATAGATCAATAGTGCTATTGAGCTGCTTAAGCTTTTTTAAAATAGAAGTTATCTCTGGGGTATTGATGGTGGAGAGAATGGTTAATTCGTGAATATTTTTGTGTGGGTGTTTGGACAAAATTGAGATTTGATCTTTTTGGATATTGGTGATATACCAAAAAATTTTTGTGGATTTATTTTTTAATTTTAGTTTTAAATCAAATGCTGTTGTATTTACTTGATAAAAGTTGGTCATAGCATTTTACATCCTTTTAGGGACATAAATATTTATCTAGGGAATGATAAACAATATAAAAATTATTTAAATTTTTCTTATGAACTTGTTATTATTTTAAATTTTTGTTAAGGAAAATTTTGTGTTTTCAATAAAAAATGATTAAAATGCAAGTAGTTTTGTGCTTTGGTATATTATGATATCAAAAAGCAATCAGGAGTGAAGCAATTAATCGCTCTTCCGGTATACAAATTGTGTTATTTGGTATTTTTGATTGCTGAAGAATTGTGTCAATTTCTGGAGTATATCGACAAAAGAAGACGTATAATTCGTGTTTATGTTCGTTAGGGTGTTTTGCTAGTATACTAATATGATTTTTTTCAGTGTTAGTGATATACCATATGATGTTAGAGACTTTATTTCCTAATTTGAGCTTTAAATTTATTGTACTGACGTCAATTTTAAAATGTGTTGACATTGATTTCACGATGTTTGTTTTCTTTTTCTTAAGCCTAGTTGTACTATTTGATTAGTATGTCTTAGAGTAATGAAAACCTCTTAGGAATTTTTGAATATTAACAAAGGTTATTAATAATAAGATAGGGAAATAAAAAAATTTCTTTGGAAAAAAAAATGTTCTAAAATTTTTTCTAAGTTTTTCAAGTTTTTTATTCGCTGAAACCTTAACTGAAACCTGAAACTTTCTTCAAGTGAAGTTTTATTGATGCTATGGTATGGTTAACAATATAACTATATGCCTTTATTGGTTATTATTGGTTCAAAACTTAATTTTTTTTTTTTTTTTTTTTTTTTTTTTTAAATTTTAGAAAATTTTTTGACTGAAACGATAATCTGAAACCTGAAACTATGATAGCTGAAGTTGAGTTTTTTTATCCTAAAATTGTCTAGAAGCTTTAGTATACCTAGTTTATGCTTTATCTTGCAAAAAATTTTGAGAAAACCGAATCTTTTGATATCTTAAACTTAGTTTTTGAAAACTCAAACTTAAAACTCTTAAACTCTCTCAAACTCGGTGCATGAAAATAAAAAGTTGGTTTTTGATAGCTGGTCTAGTGTAAATTGGAATTTTGAACAGGTTTGTAACTTCAAAATCAAAAATTTGTTTGCGGAAACCTAAGTTTTTGGGGCTGAAACTATGATTTCTAGAACTGAAACTATGGTTTGACCACTTGGTTTTAGAGTTTTGAGATTGGAAATTTAGGTTGGTCTCTCTAATATATTTCTATTTCAGCAATAAAATTGCCAAAAAGATGAAAATTTCAGCCTAAAACGACGATTTTATTTTTCTGAAACTATAAGTTTGAGGGCTCAAACTAACACCTTCTAGAAGTTTTTTGAGTTTAAAAATTTGTTAGTGCATTAAGGATTCTTATTATCTTTCAATATTTCACAAACATTTTTCTCGGGAAGCAAGATTTTTGGGTCTTAAACCAAAAACACCAATTCTGAAACGTACGTTTCAGCCTTAGGAACCAAAATTGAAAATTGGTTTGGTGGGTTTTAACACCGTTAGTTTTCTCTAGAAAGACAAAATTCGGCGTTCGGAGCTCAATTTTGAGACCAAAAACTCAATTTTTGTGTTCTGAAACCTGAAACTAACAAAAACGTACCATTTAAGACCAGGTTTTTGACTTATGGTATCCAAATTTGGGTTTGACTAGTTCAACTTTTGCTGTTTTACCCGAATCCGTTTACAGAAACTTAAAATTTTGACCGGAAACTATACTTATTTTAACTGAAACGTTTGACCCTATAACTGAAACCTAGACTGAAACCAAAAATTTTGGCTGGTAAAAATCAATTTTTTATTGCTTATGCTATCATATGAAACCTATTTTATCAATATAAAATGGATGTGTCAGTGTTTTAAACTTAGTTTTTGTTGTAAAACCTGATATTTTTGTGCTGAAACTAAAACTTGGTGTTTGGTGTTATGTGGTTAACGTTTAAGATTGGTTTTAGTGCGTAATCTTATTGTTAATTAGGTGTATATTTAAACTGTGTCAAAAAAAAACTAATGATTTATCAAAAAACACTCAAATCCGTTCCTTCCTTTTTGGTTTTTGTTATTTTCTTCCTTAGTTTCAGTAATTGGTAGCTTTACTGATGGATGATTTAGGTTTACGTTACGTTAAGGTGTTTAGAATTAAAATGAGTTTAAGAAAATTTGAGGATAAGCCTCGAGAATTGATGAAGGATTAGGATAAATAGCAACAAGCGTGGATGGTTTGAGATAATGTGATGAAGAAATCCATTTATCATACAATTTAGAGTACTCTTAGATCGCACATATGACCACTTAACCCCCTCGAAAAAAGAATTGAAGATATTTAATAAGTTTTTGAGCACTTTAGTTTAATACAGAATTTCGTTAATTTTAGTGATGATAACTTTAAACTGAAGTTTCGGCAAAAGTTTAGTGGATTACTGGACAAAACGGGTATATCTTACTAGCGGACTTAGGCAGAGAACGATTCTTTCAGAAATTTTATATATTATTATAATAATAGATAATAGTTAAGTTCATGAGCTAATGTCCGTTAGAAAGCCGTCTAATAGACCTCGAGATGGAGGAATATCGTGGGCGACTGCTAGCGCAGGGGATGCATTTCGCAAGAACCCTACTAGGAATATCTGTCAAGTAGAAGACAATGAAATTGTGTTTCTATCGAAAGATACCCATTGTCTCTGGCTTTTTGAGGTTGGAAACTAATCTGACAAATACTCACAGATCCTAATAATAATATATTTTTTGAATTTTAAAAGCTGTTTCTAGTTTGTTGGAAAAAGAATTTCTTAAGGAGTAGTTCTCTGCTGCGGTCGCACCAGTTTTACTAAGCGCTCATTGCTGGTTGAATGCTTAGTAATTTTATCCTAAATTATAAGTCTCACCTTAGATCGTCAAATTGTCTTGACAAAAAGTAGAGTAGAAACAATAGTTAGAAAAGGTATGAATTAATTAGTTGGTTAGATACAGAGCACTGGGTTATTAGATTATATAAATGAATCGAACAGCTTAAAGAAATATACCTATGAGGGGAGGTTGAGCTAATCTTATTTTGTTCATCAATTTTTTATCTTCTTACTAAGGTCGGTGGCTGATTAGTATGTATGGTTGCCCTTGATTTTGTCCAAGTCAGCACTTCTGGTTGGGTCGTCTGAATCGTCTTGCCGTAGTCCTTTGGGTACTTGTAGTCCAGACTTCCTCGGGTGTGCGTATCTCGAGTATCTCGATTTATAATTTTTCAAATCAAACTTAAAATGAGAATTTATTCTCTTTTTATAAGTGAAAAGGGCTAGATTAATTTTAGTGTGAGGGCAGAAAAGAAAAATTATTTATTTTTAAAAGATATGACTGAAGAGAACTGACTTGCTGCTGACTGAGCAAAATGAAACACTGAAGATTTCAGGCCAGTCCTTTTGCTCATAAGCATAAACCGGCGGCTGATTCAATCTTTAATTTTTCAGGTTTCACCTGCTCCTTTGTTCTCCCTTTTTAATAAGGGAATTTTCAACTAGTTTTTATTTGATTTTTTCAAATCAAATATCTTCAACTTATTAGTCCCCTTTGATAAAAACCGCAGCCTTCAGTTTGTCTTATTAAAAATTCATATTACTCTCTCTGATGCATCATATTGCAGGTGCACCTCTGCATAATCAAAGCAAGGAGAATTTCAGTGCAGCCGGCAAGACTGCTAAATATTTATCCAGTTTGTTTCAAGTTAAGTTAAAAGGGACGTATTAATAATCGCCGCCCTTTTAAAATATTGAGCATGAAAAAATGAGAAAAATTGGACAAGTATTTAAAAAGGAGTGGATTTTCACAACAAGATTTTATAGTCCTAATAAGAGTAAATCAGTCAATATCTGATTTAGTAAAAAGAGGCTTTAATTTAAATGGCACGCTCCAATTTAGAATTGGGTCGTTAAATAAACAATTAAGACAATTGTCTTTTGTGTGTGTGTGTAGTATTTTTCAATACTACAGTTTTGTAACAAATATTCAAGTCTGTTCCCTTCTTTGCAAACGAATTTATTATTTACTGTTATATTGTGAGTTTTGAACTTTTTCGAGCGAGTATAGCGTTTGAGTCGATTGATGTTCGCTATGTTAAAATTGGCTCTTTGGGCGAATAACATGATTTCTTTGGATGGAAAACTAGTTCACTTAGAGCTTTGTTGGCAATCAAATTAGAAAAAAAACTGAAAATCATTGTGCGAAAAATCAGAAAAAAAAATTAAAATTTTCGTTTTTTGAATTTTTATTACTGTTTTGTGATTCAGTTTTCGAAGACAATTGTTGTCGGTTATGCCTAGTTCTTAAATGTTTTAAGCGCTTGTTCAGTTCTCTCATTTGCCCCAGACACACAAAAAACGGCGCCAAAATTAAAAAAAAATTGCTGTGGTTTTTCTATGAATGTGGTCGGAACATTTTGCGCTAGTTGCACTGCAACCGGCTATCTTCGTTTGATTTTTTGGCAGGTTTTTGGCGCACTCAAAATTGAAGTTCGGGTAATTATTTTGTGCTTTATCTGTGTTTGTGTTAGTTCCTGAAGAAGATGCTGCAGTCTCTGTTCGAATCGATTCTGTTTATCTTCAACAAAATGGAAGACAATCAGGAGATCCTGGAACTTCTCATCGAACTTATGATAGACCTGTGTTGGGCAGTTCACAGGCATCGCACACTTTTCTCCTATACATTCAGCGCAAGACTAGTTTAGTTTGTAAAACAATTAAGCAAGCAAGTATGGTTTTTTCAGATGCAACATTTGCAAATTGATGTGGTTCTCATTAAAAAAAAGACATTTCAAGTTCTATTAGGGATAAGATCTCATGATAAAAAAGTTACAAAACTTCGCCTTTAGCGAATTAGGGCTAAATAAAACAGCAGATAAGAGAGTGCACAGCAGAAAAGTGTTCAAAAACTAGGGAGGCATCTCAGAACCAGGACTTCATCTCAGGGGCCTCTTTGAAGGCACTCTCAATTGTGAACCAGGACTTAGTGAAGGAACGCCAGAATCAAAGCAGACATACTATTTACGTCATTTTAGAAACAGATCAAGAGAGTAATCATTACAAAATCAAGCTCGTTTTGTAGTTTTGATCAATTTTGCGGTTTTAGGGCACTTTTTTCGCTTTCTTCATTCAAACTTGTCGATTTCATGATTTTAAATGTACGGAAGACAACTTTTTATTTCACCTTGCCTTATCAGTTGGCACAATGTATTTATTTCAGGTTCCAAAATCAGGTATAATCAGGTATAATCAGGTTCCAAAATCAAAATCGAATAGTACAAATACAAAAGAATAGAGTAATTATGAAGTGAATCAATGTTTCATATTTAATATTCTTTTTTTTTCAATTGAAATCCTAAAAGTAAAGTATGTCATCTTTGAAGTTCGACCTCTACAAAACTGGGTCTATGAGTCTTGAGAGGGCCCTGCTGCATGCAAGTAGCTCATCGGCATTTTCGGGGCCAAAGAGCATGGAAGGATTCGAGCAACTGAGCATGTTAGATACTTTTCCACTGCACGTTACTTTTACTTTTTAAAAACGCTCTCGAAAAGATTCGAGGTACCCAAACGTCAAAGTGAATTTGGTCGAATAATAACAAAAATCTGTGAAAAAATTGCGCTCATAAATCATTAAACAAGATTTATCATTATACTTATACAGTTATTAAACGCGCAAAACAAAATGTTTCTCTTGCGTTTCCTCTTGCGTTTTTTGAATTAGACTAAAACGCCCTAATGCAACAACTCGCAATACAAGACAAGTGAGAATAAATTTTGATGCATGATGCCGACATACCTATCGAAAGGTTATGACTTCATGAGTCATTTCCCATGTTCTTTTTTGTATTCTTGCTTAGAGCATTTCTAACATGTCTGCAGTATGAGATGCAGTACAGCATCAACCGACTGAAGGCAGAGAGTTTGGATGATGAGTCATGCCACGCCTCCAAAAATTCCCTCGACGTCAACATCACCTCATCCCCTCTCAAATTCAGAACATCCAAAATGGCCGCCATCAGGGGCGCCAGAGAAAAGTATGGAACAGACAGTAAAACACAATATCAAAAAAAGGGGGGGGGGGCACTGAAGTAGATCAGTCTCCGTCTCTCAACAACAAGTCGGTGGTTCGAATCATACCATATGATATACGCTTCTTGTCCCAATATGACACATCTCAGAGTATTAATCAAAAACGAAGCAGATCTAAATCATATGGACAAATTGCCTCGAATTTAGTAAAGGAAAAAAGCAAAGTTGAATGATCATAGTGCTAATTAATATACTTGTATTCAGCTCACAAAATAGTTTAAAAAGCTATTTTTATTCTATATGATCTTCAGGTATACCAAGTCGTTCTTTGGACCTCAGAGGAGCATGGACAGCCAAGAAAACCTTGACTCCGCATCGTTGGAGATAATGACTAAAAACCCGATCAGGACGAACGAGATCATAGAGTTATCCCACCTATTCCTCAAAACTAGTCTTATACACTTCAAAGATGCAAAAGACAAGTTAGTATAGTTAGTCCAGAAAGTATTCAATAAAATTAAGTTTAAACGACTTGCTAAGAAATTGAGGATGAATTTATAGAAATTGTATCAATTTTTGCTGTAGTCATTGAAGTCAAAATACCTCTAAGTAGAGACGCTTAGCACAGTGGTAAGGCATTCAATCTAAGATCGTCATAGCGTGTATTTGATCCCCTGTCATGACAATGATAGCGTTTGAGCACAAGCTCTCGCATAACCTCAAGGACTTTTCCTGAAGAAAAAAAATCGTTTTTTTTTCTTCAAGAAAAGTCTTAAATTTTAGTTTTTCGCGATTTGACTATTGATTTCTTTTTAAGTTCGGTTTTTTAAAAGGAAGGCAAACTCCAATAAAGTCACAAAAATTGTGATTGACATCTAATTTAGAAAACGGAATTTTATTATCAGATTTCCCAGTCAAAAAATTTTTCTACATTTTGATCGAGTTTTCGCAAATTGGAGTAAAATTATCAAAAAAATTGTCAAACATTGCTTAAGAAATTCAAGAATTTTAAAGGCTATCTATTTATTCTGGAAGCTCTTAAGTTACGAGAGATTTTTTCAAAAATCAAGTCAGAAGTTTTTTTCTTTTTACTTGCCTTCATTGACAATTTTCCAATTTTCTGTTGGCTATTGTTCTTGCGCTAATTGCACTACAGAACTGGTTTGAAATATACAGACAAAACGAATAAAACTTGAAATTTACAATGCGTTTTTTTTCAATTTGGGTTGACTTAAGAGAAAGAAATTATGAAGACAAAACATGCTAAGAAAATCAGCGAATGTTTTTTTGCAAAGTTTGGGCTCAAATTTTTATCCTGACCAGTCTTGGTTTTTAGTCAATCTAAAATTACGCCAAAACTATTGAATCAATTGCTGATAGAAACATATCAAATTTAAGAGCGGTTCACCTCCCAAACATTGGCGCAAAACATCAAGTATTTGTTTTCAAAAAAATTGATACTTTATGAAGTAGAACTGACTTTTTGCGGCAATCAAACAAAAATAAATTTAATTAGACAAAACTGAGACGTTCATACCTTGCTTAAAATTTGTTGGGCTATATAAAAGGGTCACTTCGATACATTTTGTCAGCCTTGAGCCATTAGTTCTGGCGTATTTTTGATTGACTAAAAAAGCCAAAAATAGTCGTTTTTCAGGTAAAATTTTGAGCCCGAACTACGCAAAACATTTTTTGCTTCATTTTACTTCCGCTGAAACTCTAAGCAGTTTTTGTTTTCATCTTTTTTTGTCTAAAGGCAATCCAATTTGAGAAACAATTTTTAAATTTCATGTTTTGTTTCTTTTGTCCGGATCATTTAGCTCAGCACTGTGTTTATTTAATTCAGTGTCCGACAATGTTGAACTAATTGCAATGATTATAGGTTTAATAATTTAGATTTTCACAATAATGAACAGCGCCCGGGTCGAGGTCCCAGACTCATATCCAGGCTTTCACGACAGAATTTTAGCATGTCCAGAACTGGTTGCGAAATTCGCGATGTATCTGCCTCGGATGCGAAGAATGCCTTCTTGATCGTACCGTCTCCGCCTTGGTCTGGAAAGTCGCGCCGTCTGCGCAATGGTAGAGAGGACTTGATTCTGGAAAGTTTGGACATAAAGTCGTGCCGTGGATTGCGCCGCAACGGATCCAGACCCAAATTGCATAGCCGCGCCGAGATTTTGAGTCTTGAAAGTCTGGACATGAAATCGCGCCGTGGATGGAGCCTTATCCGGGTTTAGACCCAAATTGCATAGTAGCGCCGAAAGTTTGAGTCTGGAACTTCTGGACATGAGTCGCGCCATGGGTGCCATAGTCTGGACATACCGAAATTTCGTCGCGAAAGTCTGGACATAAAGTCATAAAGTCGCGAAAGCTTGGACACACATTTTTCCGGACTTTCGCGACTTTAAGTCCAGACTTTTGCGACCAAATTTTGGTATGTTCAGAATATCGCGACCCACGGCGCGAATCATGTCCAGACTTTCCAGACTCAAATTCTCGGCGCGACTATCAATTTGAATCCACATCTCGGCGCAACCCACAAAGTCTGGACATGAGTCTGAGACGTCGAACCGGGCACAGCGTCAGAAAAATTAACTGGCTAGTTAGTGTGTTTTAGATTGTCGGCATATGATCAACATCTGTTTACAGAAACATTTGAGAAAGTGTTGTCTTTAATGTACCAGTTCCTCAAGCTCCGCAAAGTCGAACCCTTCTATGTAAGTAAATCAGCAAGAATGCTTCCGAAAAAAAATCAGGATCTCTGTGTGAGTAGCACAGAATTTTGCGACGACTGTTTTTTTTTATTAGATAATTGAATGAATCTATATATGAACCGATATTTTTGCTTGAAGCATACAACGAACTTTTTTTTCATTTGTTGCTGTAAAAAAAACGGAACGATGGCGTTGGTTCTTGGTTCATTGGCGCACTTTTAAGTCCCAGACAGCCAATTTGTTATGGCTTGAGTTTTTAAAATTTAAACGCAAGTTGCTGCAAAGAATGTTTAAATTTCAGGAGACAGTAGCCTTCGGTTTGATTCACATATTGGACAGTATATCTGACCTGGATAGTGATGAGCTCATTAACTTCTCTTTCAAGACACTAGGAAAGTTGCTGGACTCCTCAGCCAAAGACAAGTTCCCCCAACGCAAGAACCCATGTCTTCTTTTGCTGAACAAAATGAAGACATCCAAGGATCCAAGTCAGTATTTCCACAATTTGCATTTTGTTAATACAAGAAAAGATAAATTTGTATTCCTAGTAGCGTTTAATGATCAGAATAAAAATCGTTTTTTCCTTGAAATAATTTTCATTGAAAATTGGTTACGACAAATAGTTCAAACATTACAAGGCCAAACTGTTCCTTGAATACACGCATCGTTTGGTGCGTGTAGGCTCCTGGAATCCAGAGACAACTATTTAAAATTGTTCTGAAGTTGAAAATGGAATCCACCTATTAAATTGTTGTGGAATCCAGAAATGAATACCCTGTAACCTGCAACTTGTCGGCATTTTGGTTGTGCTGCGAAACCCGCAACAAGCAAATATATAAATTTTGTTGGCTGATTTCGTATTTATCGAAAAGTTGTGCTTAAATTTGTTTAAATCATGGCAAAAAAAAACGACTCAAATAAGTCTTTAATTACCATTTTAAACCGGAAATGAGTTTGCTTAACGCAATTGCTGTTTTGAGTCATCTTTCGGCTTTTTTCCAGTATTGAGACTAAAACTTAAGCAAGTACTCAAGTTGAAATAGTCATTTCAGTGTTTGAAAAAAATTGGTGTTAATTTTCAATGCCACTATTTCAGGTTGAATTGGCAAAATAATTGAGTACTGTCGTAAAGGCTACTATAGCATTTGAGATGAACAGTAGTTTCAATAGATAAAACAAGACTGCTCGTATCACGGCGAAGCCCTGAATGTTCCGACTGCCATCTAAGGTCTATGGAGCAGTATTGACATGAAAAAAGTTTTGAAAAAAAGGTGAAAAAAATTTAAATCAAAGAAATTTGAAATTTTTTGTGAAAATCATTAGTCTACACGCCATTTAAAGTACAAAGTGATAGATTTTGCTCCTAGTAACATCTCAATTATGGCAAATAAGCTTACTTCAACTAATTTGGAACAATTTCTAAGACGGTTAAATCTCCACTCACGCTCTAAAAGCGCGAAATATATCTGGCGTTAATTGTCGCAAATTGGCAAAAATGCCAATCTTTAAACCCCCATAACTTTATGGAAATGATCACAGGTGAAATATTTTTTCAAATTTAAACTCAGGACAACAATGCTCTTCGAACGATATAAAACAAATATTGTCAAAAATGGCTATTTAAAAAGTCGAAATTTGTCTGAAGAAAAAAAACCCACCCGAGCACAAACATTCCGTTACTTTCGTATCGAAAGTCGGAACAACAATAAATGAATTGTCCTGCTTTTCAGATGAATAAAATTTCCAGTATTTGAGATAAATGGCTGCTTCAAGGCTATTGAAAACCAAAAAAAAATTGAAATATTTGTCTTGTTTTGCTTAATTTCTAAACTATTTTGTCCAAATTCAGTTTTGAATATGAATCAGGCAAAATCTCGATTATATTTGATTTTTTTTAAAGAATACATTACCAGGATGAAAGCTGATTTGAGATGAAATTAATTCATAAAACGTTCAAATCCTTATGTGCGCTGTTTTTTTTTCATTGTTTCATAATTTTGTTTTTGCTTTCAAGTTTGCTTGTGTTTGGCTCAAACTGCTTGGCTAAAGTGTTTATTCATTAATAATCAAAGTCGAAGTGACCCATCAACTTGTTGAAATTAGATAGCTTGAATAATTTGAACACGTAACTAAGTTTTACTGGGTTTCGGAATCAAAATGAAGGTTCCACCTATACTTTGCGGATTCCGAAGGCAATGGTGCAGTTTTTGGAGCCCTTTTTTGAGCAAGGGTTCAAGCTTTCGTTTGTGAAACTCTTAATTCAGAAAAAAGCTAAGAAAAACAGTCTCGTTGTCGACTCCACTAAAAACTTTTCAGTCTGTTAGGGAAATTTTTCATTGTTTGCAAAGTTACAGTTTGGTCTCGAAATGGAAATTTAAAAAATTAAAATCGCAATACCAGTAAAAAAAACAGGAACAAAATTTTTTTTATTGCAGCTATCTGAATCACACCAGACTTAAGTAATGCATGTCAATGAACGTCGTGAATTTTCCTTCATCTAGTTATTGTTTTTTTTATGGCGGCTTGACTTTTGATTATTTCAAAGTTTAATTTCAAATTGGTTTGCAAATGGAATGCAGCTCATATTTTAAGAAAAGTGAAACGCATATGGTTCAAAAAATTTGAAAAAAATTTATATTTGAGAGTTGATTTTTTTCAGCCAAATGGAAAATTTGGTTATTGATCGTTTCTTACAAATCAAGTTTGTTCATCACAAAATTTCAGCTATAAAATAATCATGTAAATAACCTGAATATCTTTTTTTAAAACTTGGAGCTTCAAATTTTGAATTCATAAAATTTTTCCGATTGCCCATGGCGTTTTCAATTTTGGTTTGGATTTGGAGAAATTTGCTCTAATTTTTTTTTCAGTTTATGGAGAAAACGTTGCGCCGTTACAAACCCAGTTATTTTCGGGGTTAGTTTTTTGCAATGTGTTTCTAAATTTTTGCTTCAGGCAAAAACAAAAAAATCTAAAGTGGAGTGCAAAAACATATAAAACAATATTTCAGACGTGATTTGAGATGCAGCAAAAAACTCATTCTCAAAAAACTCTGTATTTTTAAATTTTTAAGATTATATTGTTCCAAGAAACTAAATTATGGCGCACTCCTTCTCTTTTTAAATGGCTAGTGACAAAATTGATGAAAAAATGATGACAAAAATGGGATTGGGCACGAAATTTGTATTCGGTTGTGTTTTTTTTTAATGTTTTCCACGCAAAATCAAGTATCACAAATAATTATCGGACTGAGTTGACTGATATATCATAATAAAGCCCTAACAGTAGTGATTCGAACCACGTTTTAAAAATTTCCTTAATTTATTTTTCCAGCATCGAGAAAAATTGTTATGAACTTTTTGATTTTTCGTCTTATTTCGAGCGAATAAAGCGAGCGAGCAGTCTTATTTTAATCATTAAAAAACATACAATATAATAGCTTAATTCAAAACAAAAAATTAGTTTTTCTATAGTGAAGTTAGTTTACTCTGAGTATTTTAGCGTTTTTTTGGAATCAAAATTTTCGAAAATTCAAAAATGTAAAAAAAAAATCATGAAAAATACCTTTTTTTGATTTTTTTTTGATTTTTTTCCTTTTTCTGGTAATTTTTCTGAAACAAATATTTTTCAATTTACTTATTTTAGTATGGATGTCAAACCTACTTAATCCACAAATTTTGGTTCAACTTTCTTATCACACCACGCCGAAAACAAAACGACAATGATTTGAAAAAACTTTGTTGTATTTTTTAAGACTATGGTCGGATTATTCTGTGCTACTTGCACAAAAATCGGCTATCCTTTTTTTTCATCCTACCGTTTTTTAGTATCAACTCATATTGTTTCTAGATTTTAGGGATATGATTATTCGTTTTTTCAATTTGGAATTTAAAAAATATCAGGTCACACTTATGTTTTTTCATGTTGAAAGTAGCGAAAAAAACACGAACGTTTTATTATAACCCATGAATCAGAAATTTTGTCACTTTGATTGTAAAATATGGGGGCAGGTTAAAAGTTTTTATAGCTGGTACTTTTGCTAGCCCATAAAAATTATAAAATATACGGCAAATCAATTGAAAAAATTGGTATTGAAATATAAGTTGAAAAAAAGTTAGGCAATTATTTTTCTTATCTGATTAAGCACACGCTATAAAAAAACAAACACTACAACAAAACACGGAACCTGTCACTAAAAACTGAAACACATTTTTAAAACGCTTTTGAGACCATTCATAGTCTGATAATATAATTGTTTTTTACTCTAAGAATGCGGTTCGAATCAGGAAGATATTTTTGGTTTTTCGCCATATTTCGAGTAATGTTAGTTTTTTTGAGTTAACACTTTTTTGGAACCAAAAATTTCAAAAATTCAAAAAACTGCAAGCAAAAATTGAAAAATTTTTGAAAATCTTTTCGATCATTTTTGTTTTCTAGTCATTTTTCTACAATTTTTTTTTTCAATACACTAATTTTACTATGATTGGCCTAATCTTTAGTTTTTCATTTAACTTCTTTTATAACACCACGCCGAAAAAAACGGCAATAGTTTTTCATTCAGCTCCTTTTATCACACCACGCCGAAAAAGACGGCACTAATTTAAAAAGAATTTCTCAGCATAGAAAAAGAACCCGTTAGTTGTTGGTGAAGTTAAATCTTAGCTCTCTTATTTCGCTCAACTCTCTTAACTTTCTTTGCTCATAGCCAAAAAAGACATGTTGTTCTTAAGATGTTTCCAGAGGTTTTCAGAATTTGTTCGATCTTTTTTTAGTTCGACCCCAGTTATTTTACAAAAAAAAAAACACAAAAACCATACTTCACTAAAAACAAGGTATAAACATTCCGTTTTTTTGTTAATTTTTAGAAGGTTTTGACAAAGAAATTTTTGGCGCACTTACCATTGAATTTTGAGTTGGTGGGCCAAAAATAGTTATAAAACAAAATGGCCAAATGGTCTACCCTTTGTTTAATCAGGGGTGAGCATGCCTGAGGTGAGAGGAGGCGTTCGCTCACCCTATCCCCAAATATGACCCTATATCTGAGTAAATATGCCATTGCATCTTGTTACTAGATACTTCGTAGATAAACGGTATTAATTCTTTCACGGGTCGACCAAATTTATTTTCTAAGCTTATTTGAAACGCTAAAAGAACATTATTTACCCTATTCTGGCAAAAACAAAAAAAATGGCAAAAAAAAGAAAAAACCCATTGACGCCAAGGACACTACCCGTAACTTTAATAGTTGGTTCGTTGGACAAGAGCGGACGTTGTTATATTGTACTAAGCGGCCGACCTTTCCCCGTGAGTGGCGAAGGGATCAAACTGAGGCTAAAGCAGACCCTGTTTTTGTTATGAAAAACTTTGGAGGAGTAAGGTTTCAATGTGTTTATTTATACAGAACTGTGGAAACTGGGCGTGATGTTTCTTGTTGACGAGGTGAGCAAGGAACGACTGAAAATGGGGGGCTATTCTAATTCCCGTCCTCTCCCTGATACCACATACAGCGCCATAGTTGTCATCCTGTCCAAGTTACTGTCTTATCTCGACAACGACCCTCAAAACAACACAGCACGGGTAAGTGCAGCGAGTCTTAACGCGCAATTAAACTTTGTAAAATTAAACCTTTGTTGTAAGAATTCAATTTGCCATAGCGGGGACACTAATACTAGGTGTTCTACAATCCCAGAAGGGTTGTGTAAGTGTCAATCTAAATCGGCCGATCAAGAGTTTTCTGCAATTTCCTTCTATATTTTGCTCTGTTTCGACTCTTCTCCTTCTTCTCTCGTAATTGACTAGTTCAACAACATGTGGACACAATAAGTAAATCCTTTTTCAGTCACAAAAGAATAAGTTGAATTTACAAAGCCTTTAATGAGCCAACTAACACTTAACTACTTTTATAACCCAGCCCGCGATTAGTTCCGTCCAATCCCTTCGTTAACTCGCTCGTCAGTCTTGGTTTGGCGCCATTCAAAGCTCACCAACTTCAACGGCGCAACTTGCTCACGCAACTAATTCAGCCCGGTACTAAACTCGGATTCAAATCAACTAAGCTACTATGAGACTCAACTATTCTCGCGTCAAGCACTAGCGTCATCCATGGATCAACTATTTTGATCGGGTTGCTTAATCGTTCTCTCTCTAACTAAGAACCAACCGTTCGCTCTCTCAGCCTAATTGTTCTGCCTCTTGGAGGCTCTCCGGTACCCTCTAGTTCCCTATCTTTATTTACACTTAATTTGAGCTGAGTCACGCCATTACCTATCAGTCCTGGCACCCGCTTGTCTCACACCTCCACACAAGTTTTATGGCTACATCCTTTCCCCTGTCAACACTGGCATGTGTCAAACTCAGTTTCTGTTATCAATCTTTTCATGCTTAATAGATACCCGGTATCTGGTTATTGTGACAATTCGACCAAGCAAACAAGAGTAATATGATCCTAACGATTTAATTCATGACCTTTGTAAATTCTGACACTCGAGCTCAACTCAACCTCCAAACCATGCTATGTTTATTTAGTGAGCCTCCTTAGGTCAATATTTAATTATTTCATTAACGCTCCGACCTACCGAGGGTAGGAAAAGACACTTTTGTGGGTATTTAATTCCTTTCAAGCATCAAAGTTTTCCATCTACACTCTATTACAATCCCGACCTTCTAGCTATCAGTGGAACATAGTTCGTATATTAGGGGTTAAACTCAGCCAACCAAATCACCTCTGGGGAGCCAAATCACTTTCCCGCCTATTCAATTTTTTCAGAAGACTTAATAGCACAACCCACGCCTCGCTCCTCTTACTGCCAATTTCCTCTGCGACTACTTTTCTTTAGTCTAGTAAATTAGCTATTAGTAGATAGTTCGCCAAACTAAGTTGAATCAAGTTTTTATCAAGTCCTTTTCAACTATTTCTTCTGTTCCAACACCATACACGAGGAACAAGATCTTACGCCATAAAATTTTGAATGTGTCGCCTTTAGGTAGCTTTCATCCAGGTATGCTCCGCTAAAAAATGACGGTCCATTCCCAGTGGTTAATTCTATGGAATAGTTTGCTTTCCGATGTTAATTTTTGGGGTTTTCCTGTATCTTGGAGTCACAACGCACAAAATTTTCAAGATCTCCCCGGTTTTACCAAAAGTTAATCTATCATATTTGGGTTCAAAGCCCCTTGTGGATCCTACCTACGAAGTTCTATCCATATCCGATTAATATTTTACAAGTTATCAAATTTTAAAAATCAATTATCACTTTTCACGGGAAGTGGCTATTAACACCGGTTTTTATGCCGGGGGGTTTTCACTCACAAGAGGGGTTTTTTCCGGGATCTGTGTCTAGTGTCTGTTGCTGCTATAAAGTTAATATGCCTTGGCTCATTATTTTGCGTTCTAAGGGGATGTTTTTCCAAGTGCTATTAGCTCGAAATCCAACCGTTCGAAATCGTTCAAAATTTAACAGAAAAAATATCCTGCCACTAGCTATCATATCTCCTAGTTTTGGCTCCCTGCGTTCACTGGGGGCTGAGAAACGAATTCGTAAAGTTTGGGGTGGGTTTGTTTGTTTGGGGCATAAAACCGGAAGTTGGTACAGGAGGTCTGCTGTTCTAAACCTAAACTTCACTCAATTAGGCCTACCACATACAAAAATTTGATCCCATTTCAACCGCTAGTCACCGAGTTCTGATAGGGCCATTTACACTTCCTGGGACCATTAACACATGCCCCCCATGTGTCTGAGGGGTTCCCTTTTTGGATGCCCGGGTCAAATCGTCTCTAGTTTTTTCCTATAAAAATCGTGAAGTTAATTCCTGAGTTATTATTTGAGGGTCCTTTCTTGTTTTTTTTGGCTTAGGAAAGACTAATTCTTCGAGTTATTTTAATTTTGACAAATTGTTTGTTTCACTACTTAACTAAATGAATAATCAATCACGTTACTATGGCATGTATTACAGTAGAATCGCAAGTCCTACATTTGTTAACGTTAACGCATATCAATTCAATGGGTGCAACATATTAACTTTATTCTGTTTTTTGGGTTAAACATCATCTCTACAAAAATTAACGATGATCAATAAAGATTATTAAGAATCACCCCAGAACACCAAGTTGTAAAACGAATCAATTTTCTACTGCATCATTGGTTCTACTGCATCATTGGTTCTACTGCACTGTAAAAGTTCTATTGCATCATTATAGTTTCTACTACATCAAAACTTGGTGATAATTGCAAACAAAAAATCAAAAAAAAAAGATAAAACCGAATTAAACTTAAGATTTTCATTTCTTCGTCATTTTTTGGTGGAGGAGGAGTCTGCTATAAAATGTAGCTTCAAGGATTAAGAGCTTGTAAATACATGCTAAGATTTGTAGATCATTTTTTTAGTTTTGCGACAACTCGCAGAAGTAGACTATTTGCAAATTTAAGAAAACGGGCAACTCGGAAGGCCATTCAAATATTTGATCACCCGGCCGTAGCCAGAATTGATCGCTTTGCGCCACTGCGTTTATATTTAGCCGCATATAAACAACGCGCGCCAATAGTTTGTACTCATTTGAGTACGCCCAGTTTGCTTTTTAAGCAACACAGGCTCAAGATTTCAAAAAAGCCGAGTAACTTGAAAACAACTGCTGAGCCTCAATAAATTTGTACTAAATTTTTTTTTTAGTATTTATTCAGTTTTTCGATGCCATCTGGTGCTAAATAGCCAATCGTTCTCTTTGAAAATCAAGTTTTGTAGTGTTTATCAAGTTTATTTGACAAACAAACCTGCCATTGTCGAAGCAGAATTAGTTTTAAATAAGCAATAAATTGCTAGGCAATTTTCAGCCTCGAGTCGTAAAATAATCGTAAGCCTTGTCAATTTAATTCTTACTTATAGACATTTTTCATTTTTCACTAGGTTATTTTTCATTTTTCAAAAAAATGAAACAATAACGATGAGTTAATTTTTTCATTTGATTTTACCAGTTGAGTTTTACTGAGAGTCGCTGTGTTGCGCTTAAATTTTAGAAATCGTGGAGAGTTTCTCAATGCTGAAAATTCATTTAATTTTTGCTTCAAAAAGTAAGAAGTTCAGTCGTTTGAATAACTACATTGCCTTTATGCTGTGCAATAAGCGCAGAATTTTCCAAAAAAAAATCTTTGCAAGAAAAAAACTTAAATTGGTCTCGAACATGTTCTTTTTCCGAACTTTCTTTAAAATCACTTCCGGTTTTTGTGAAAATGTGTCGAATTTACTTCTCGAATTTACTGCTAATGGCCAAACCAAGTCTTAAAAAGAAAACGAAATTGAACAGTTTTGTTAAAATCCAAAATTTTGGTTGCCTTGGTTAAGCTGAGGAAACGAAACGCAAATTACAACAAAGTAGTAAAAATGTTTACTTAGAAGTAGGTATAAAAAGTAGACTAAATTTAGTTAATTGCTGTACAGGTAGCACAGAATATTCTGATCACAGTTATTATTCAGAGGATTTTTTGAGGGTTTCAAATTGCGATTATCACACGACCCCACTCAATATAACGTTTACATGAGTCAGTCGAATTTGAATGAAAACACCACCGAAACCAAATTTTTTCACCTTCAATGAATGATTCAAGTAATTTGAATTTAAAAAAATAGGTTTTTAGGACTTTTCGTCTTAGATGCAGTTCTATAGAACGCAAAAAAATGTATATTTCCACGCTTGTGAAATTTTTTTGATTAGTTCTAGGAAATGGATGCAGAAATATGGAGCAAACGGCACTGAAGTAACTTCTTAGAAGTGTAAGCATATTCATTTTAGGAAGTGGTGTTGGATTTGTTCTTCGACAGTAACAACAAGAACTCTGAGAGCCTCCTGAATTGGTTCTTCGGAAACACTGTCGAAAGATGCGCTAAGGACAAAAACAACCTGGTAAGTGCTGCCATAATCCTTAAGTCTGAGAAGTACAAATGTGGTCAGAAGAAGAAGGCTGTCTGACACTTAGTATCTTTTGTTTCTTGAACTTATTTTAAGATATTTCCAGTTTTTGCTTTGAAAACTTGAAAAATGACCATATGGACTTTTATATCGAGTTTTGAAAACTGACTATTTGGGTTCAATTATCGGGAAAAAATCTTGTGATATTTTGGTTTTAGGAACCCTTAGCTAGGTATATGAACTGTGCGCCGTTATATTTCAGGACTGTGTGAGATCTTATTTTGGAATTGCACTCTCTGTGATGGAGATGATCTCTCAGTGCACACCTGAACAAACCAGAAGGTACCTGGAAAAAGACACCTCCATCTCTCTGGACGTAGGCAACAGCAGTAGCAAGCCATCCAACAGTAGCAACATGACCACCTGCTGGGAGATTGTGGAAACCCTGCTGCAGGCAAATTGCTCATTTCGCCCCGTTATCCCCCCCCCCCCCCCCCCAAGTGTCTAAAGTTTTCAAAAAACCATTCCGTTTGAGAGTTAGTTTTCTCGATATAATTTCAAGCTTTCAAGCTCACTAATTTTGCAACTTAATTTGGGCTATTATATGAAACATTCCAATTCAATTGGAGTCGGTCATCCGCTGACAGTTTCACTGGTTACCTCAAAATGTGTATCTCGATGTGTTTCGAGCAGTTTTCTTCTTTTCATCATGTGGATCTTATGAAATATCAATGAATGTAGTCTGAGAAGCACAAAAGTGGTCAGAAGAAGAAGTTTATCCGAAACTTTTCCAGCTTTTCAGTTTGCTTTGAAAACTTGAAATTTGAGTTTTTGAGGCTAGATGTTAGATTTTTTTTAAATGTTCGGTTCGGTTAATTTGCTAAAAGTAAGAAAAGTTACGCTCTTCAATTACAAAAACGGAAATGACGGGATAAAACGTGCACAGCTTTCGAAAGGAAAACTTTAATTTTAAGATTTTCCAGCTGAATGAAAAAATACCTATTGAGTTATGACTGGAGTGTATAACTCATAGAGTAATTTCGGATAGGGTACACCGTCTGCTCGTCACGCTATCTTATTTTCGGCCGGATAGATTCGTGCAACTTCTTAGTCTAATACCGATCCTAATCTTACTCTTATACTATCTAGTCTCAGGTTGTTTAACTAGTCTCTGCTAGGCTCAATAGATCTAGGGTATACTGGTTTATTGCGGCTGCTGAAGTGCTCGGGAGAGTCCAACTAATTTCTAAGTTAAATTCAAATCTCTCTGGTGCTGAAATTACAAGTAACTTCAGCACTTACAAATAAGTGGGTTGTTAGTTAGATGGATCATGATTGGTTAATATTAAATACTTTACATTGGTAAAATATCTAATTTATCCAATCATAAAATGTAGTTTAGATCAGGTTCCACCCATCCGGGTTTTACAGAGTTTTTTAGAATAGTTCTTCTGCAATTCGAAGGATGGATGATGGACGTTGGTTTTTGGCGAACATCATTTTCTTCCGTTTCCTCTTTGTTAAAGAAGTTCCAGGAAGCTGGAGTTAGAGACATAAGACGTTGTGTCTTCTAGTGACAACGACTAAGTCTTTGCAACAAACTCAAATCTGATTTCAGAATGGTTGGCTATGTCAGGTTTTTCTGTTCTGCGTGGAGAACTTCTTTTGTGTCTGATCTAGTTTGGGAATGGCGTGGAGATTGTGCGTGGAGGGGATGCCTGGTTACTCGGATCTGTACGTATACTTGAACATCGAGGTGGTCATTGGTCTAGTTCAATGAAGTCCTTTTCTGCGAAGTCAAGTCGTACTCTAAATCCTTTGAGTTGTGATTGTGAGTGGCATATCGATTGTGGTTGGCCATTCTCTCTCGAGTGTAGTGGGGTCGTTTTGTCTTTAGATGTTCGTCCTTGGTGTTGTATTCTGATCTATGTATTGCATAATGTAATTTACATTTTATAAAACATTTATTAGTTTAATATTTTTTAATTATGATTTTAGTTAGTTGTTTTCACAAAAGCTTTTTGTTTTAGTTCGGTTATTTTGAAGAGTTACTCACACTTGAGTAGCTCTTATTAAAAATAGAGGTGTGGTCACAAAGCGTGGATGTAGCGCGGTGGGTTAGGCCGGCTATAGAGCATGCTCAGGACGTCCTTCCTGGTGGGTTAGGCCAGGAGTGGGAGTATGATTTCATGCGGTTTTTGTGAGGGGTCCTGTTATGTGACAACGTTTTATGTTGGGTTTGTTGTGGTTTTTCTTATGTCTTGTTGGTTATGTCCTTTTTCCAAAAAGCAAATTGTTCGTGGTATGGGTTTGTCTTTCGACTTTTTTGTGTTTTATTATTTCTTTCTTAGACTTTATAATAGTCTTCAAAAGAATAAATTATCCAGTTTTAAACTGGGTTAATCCGGTTTGGGTACCGTTGGTTTCCTTTTCTTAGTCATGCTGTTATTCTATGATTTGTGGTATTTAGTAAGCTGCGTTGGTTAGTTTTGTTTAGTATATGATTCCTTTCCAACCGGGTTAAAGGAAAGTTTGAAACTTGTTATCGTGTGTTAGAGTTGTTGAGTGTGAAAACTTGAAACTGAAATTCATTATTTTAAACAATTCTTCGTGGGCGAGCTGTGCGAGTGTGGATAGAATTTCTGTGCGAATGAATGAAAATATCAAAAGGTTAGTACTGCATTTGCTTTTTATTAATTTACTGCATAGAATTTGGAAATTTACTGCTAGTTATGGGGGAATTTTAAGTTACAAATTTTCATCATAATTAGATTTACTGCTTGTGGGGAGAATTTTAGAAATGAATATACTGCATTGGTATTAAATTTATAAATTTATAAGTGTAAGAGATTAATAGAATTTTTGAAATTTGTTTGATGAAATTTGTGATTTTTATTTGTCTTTTGTGGTTTTTGTAGGTGATTGTCGGATGAAGGCTAAAAATCTAAAGAAAACATGGATAAAGAATGGTGAGTTTTTAATATTTTAATTAGTTAGTAATATTCATTTACTTACCTGTTAGTCGTCGGGGAAAAAACCGTGGGGGAAGATGTCGTGGATGAGATCGGAAGTTGTTAGTAGTTTAGCTAAGATGCGGATGATATTTTTAGTCTGAAGCAGTGGCCAAAGCAATTGAAGTGCCTTAATAGTGGTTAGTTCTTCAGTGCCAACTGCAAACTCATAAGGTGTGTTTTGGATTAGATTATATAATTTGTGATTGAATTTAGTGTTATGGATGAATTCTAAAATGGGGATTTCTATAGGTTGAACAAACTCGTGCGGGATAAGGAAGGGTCGGGATTCTTCGGCGTTGAAGGTCTTGGTGATGGGACAGAAGATGTACATTTGGGTTATGGGATCATAATTGCGAAGAATACCATGAAGGTTAGTATCTTTAATGCAATATGTGAAATTTAGGAAAAATGGTGAAGTGTATTTGGAATTAATGAATTGAAAACGATGGTGTGGTTGTCTAGAGGGTGTGTGTAGGTCAAAGTGATTTTGGATGAAGCGATAATAACTATATGTGTGGGTTTGTTTAGTGCGCAACATAATATCGTGTGAGCAGTGTAAATCTCTTTCGTGTGGTGCAAGGAAATGAAAGGTTAGTTAAAATATTTGGAAGCGTTCTTTAAAACTTTCGTATGCTTGTGTGTCTGTTAGTGCTTCTGAAATAATGTGATCAAACTTTCGGTCGAAGATGTTTAGTGTAAATATATATGGTGTCTTGATGAAAAATTTCTCGGTAATTTGTGGATTAGCGAAGCGATCGTCGTCTAAGAATTGATCTTGGTTAGCTCTGATGATGTTGTGATCATAGTATTCGAGTGTATATTCGTTAGCTCTAGGTGCAGTGTGTGTTTTTAGTGATTTTTTATATCCAACGTAAGTAAATTGTCTAGCGGTTAGTGGTGTAGTGAGTCGATATAGCATGTCCGTATTTCGCTCTATATCGATGTGAGTGTTAGATAAAGGTAAGCAAAGAGGGTTAGTAAAATGATAATATGAGGTCCAAGAGAGAGTGGGCATTAAAACGTATTCATCTACAAAGTTGCGTGTTTCGTTAGTGTCGTGGGGGGTGTTTAAGGTGTATTGTGGGAATGAGGGTAAGGTGATGGCTAAAAATTCTTTTGTGTTAGTATGCTTGGGGTGGTTGATGTATTCACGGGCTGTTCCTGGTTTTGCTGGGAAAGGATGGTTGGGGAACTTTCTTTTAAAAGTGCGGTAAGCTCTATTAGTGTTGAGTGAAGATTCAGTTGATGTGGATGATGGTGCTAATGATTCAGTATAATTTGAAGAGGGTGTAGGGGTAGGGGGGTTGGATGAATTTATAGTGGATGAGATTTGGTTTATGGTTGGGGTATTAAGGTGGTAGGGTTGTTGTTGGAGGGTAATAAAATTATCTAGCTCTGGGGAGATTCGGGGGGTGTCTGGAGAATGAGATGATTGGTCAGAATGAAATGAGGAGTAGGTTGGGGTAACTTGGGAAGCATAAGAGGGTGTGGAAGTGATTGGGTCAGGGTTATTGGATAATATGGGTTGAAAAGGGGGTTGAGAAAAATTAGAAGAGTTATGAAAATTATTGGATGGGGATGGTTCTGAGTCGGCAAATTCATCGGGGGTTTCAATATTCGGGTTAGTGAGTTGTGAGATGGAATATAAAACTGAGATGTGTGAATTAGTGTCGGAATTCATGCCTGATGTTACATTACTAGATGGAAAATCGGGTGGCGGAAAAGCAAAAAGTGGTATTATTGGGATTGTAGAGGTAAGATTGGTTGGGTGGGAATTTGATCGGTGTAGTGATCCAAGTTGGCGGCTCATCGTGGGCTAAAAAAATGATTATTTTGAGACTGAAAAGCGGTGGTATGGGGTTGTTCAATAATTTGTTCATAAGTATTATCATCTTGTGACTGGTGTGTCATTATATGTTGGATGGGACTTTGTGATGTGGTGAGTCGAAAATTTGGGTTATGTGTGATGGCTAAATTTCGAAAGTTTCGTGGGACTAGGGATAGTGGATGGTTATTTGGTAGGGGTGGTAATTGTGGTGCCGTTGGCGTTATGTCTACATTGTTATGTTCTTCGTCGTATGTATTTTGTCGTGTTGCTATTTTTGTGTTATATTCTTTTATTTGTGCGTCTAAAAGAATTTTGTTTATAGATGTAGAAAAGATTCCAAAAAATCCTGCAAATAGTATGCGTGCTACGCTTGCTTGTCTGTTTACTTGTGTGTGTATAGCACATGTGTTGTAGATTCCTTTTAAAAGTGAGAAAAGAAATCCAATAAAGTTAAACATTGCGTATAAAATAGTCAATTTTTCTAAGATGTAGTAGGGCCATCCTAGAAAATCGAGGATCTCATTTTTGAGTGTAACAAAGCTAAAAATGTTAATTGGTGATATATCTTGGGGACGGTATTTTTCACCGTTTAGATATATATAATCTTTAATG